TTTTCCAATTCCAATATATATTTTTTGAGATGGGGTGGCCATATCTGCATGCAGTATTCAAGATGTGGGCGTATTAGGGATTTATATAGAGGCAATATGATATTTTCTGTCTTATTATGTAGACCTTTTTTAATGATTCCCAACATTCTGTTCGCTTTTTTGACTGCTGCTGCACACTGAGTGGATGTTTTCAGAGAACTATCCACAATGACTCCAAGATCTCTTTCTTGAGTGGTAACAGCTAATTTAGACCCCATCATTTTAGATGTATAGTTGGGATTATGTTTTCCAATGTGCATTACTTTGCATTTATCAACATTAAATGTCATCCGCCACTTTGTTGCCCAGTCACCCAGTTTTGTGAGATCCTTTTGTGGTTCTTCGTTGTCTGCATGAGACTTAACTATCTTGAGTAGTTTGGATTCATCTGCAAGTTTTGCCACCTCACTGTTTGCCCCTTTCTCCAGATCATTTATGAATATATTGAATAGGACTGGACCCCATACAGACCCCAGGAGGACACCACTATTTATACCTCTCTCCATTCTGAAAACTAACCATTTATTCCTACCCTTTGTTTCCTATCTTTTAACCAGTTACTAATCCATGAGAGGACTTTCCCCGCTTATCCCATGACAACTTACTTTGCTTAAGAGCCTTTGGTGTGGGACCTCATCAAAGGCCTTCTGAAAACCTAAGTACACTATATCCACTGGATCCGCCTTTTCCACATGCTTGTTGACACCCCCAAAGAACTCTAATAGATTGGTGAGGCATGATTTCCCTTTAGAAAAACCATGTTGACTCTACCCCAACAAATTATGTTCATATATGTGTCTGACAATTTGGTTCTTTACTGTAGTTTCAACCAGTCTGCCCAGTACTGAAGTCTGGCTTACCGGCCTGTAATGCTGGGATCACCTCTGGAGCCCTTTTTAAAAATTGGTGTCACATTAGCTATCCTCCAGTCATTTGGTACAGAAGCTGATTTAAATGATAGGTTACAGAATACAGTTAGTAGTTCTGCAATTTCACATTTGAGTTCCTTCAGAATTCTTGGGTGAATATCATCTAGTCCTGGTCACTTATCACTGTTTAATTTATCAATTTGCTCCAAAACCTACTCTAATGACACCTCAATCTGGGAGAGTTCCTCAGAGTTGTCACCTAAAAAGAATGGCTCAGTTTTGGGAATCTCCCTCCCATCCTCAGCCATGAAGACTGATGCAAAGAATTCATTTAGTTTCTCCACAATGGCCTTATTGTTCTCGGGTGCTCCTTTAGCATCTCGAATGTCCAGTGGCCCCACTAGTTGTTTAGCAGGATTCCTGCTTCTGCTGTACTTATTTTTTCTGCAATAACTTTTTGAGTCTGTGGCTAGCTGTTCTTTTATGGTCTTCCTAATCATATTTTCACACTTCCTCTCAGGCCTATGGCTTTCTTATGCTTTTGTATTGGCAGAGTAGCCTACAAAACTTTTGCAGTCTTCTCTGCAGCAGAGTTTAACAGTCTGCACAATGAGCAACTAAACTGAATGCAATGAAGTCACCTGACACATTCTTTCCTAGTTTCTTCTTTGGCATCTCTGCAGTAAACTCTTGCCCAGCTGACTTGATTCAGAAATTTGCCAGAAAGAATGGCTTACGAGTTTAAGATTCAAATTTGAAATCCAACACTCCACAGAACCACAGATTACAATCCTGGCAGGACCAGCAAAGCTTTTTATCCTTCTGGGTTAGAAAACTACCATTCATAGGAAAGGGGTCTTTCAGAAGACACATTTGCAGATCAGACAAAAATTAAAATTGACAGAGAATCTTTAGTAAGAGTAGGGGTTTGCCCTAGTATCTCTGCCCCAAATTTCTTCTCTTCCCTTCTCCAAACTGTTTTGCAGTCTGCTATGTGTTGGCTAGTTGCTAGTCTCAACCTTGGCAGTTCAATTTAGGGGATCTCTATAGTATGCACATAATTTGTGAAGTCCTTTGGGATGAAAGCAGCAATATAAAAGTAAACATTACTCCATTGTTTTTACGCTTTACTGGGGACATGGAAATCATTGCTGTCAAGTGATTTAATATCAGGATGTGGAGCAATGAGTTTTCATGTGGACTTGTAAAGCCAAGAGCTAACCTCTACTCTTTTTTCTAAAGAGTTTTAAACCAAGCTATTACAATTTATTATTTGTAATTCAGTGGCAACTAGAGATCCCAATCAGATTTGGTGCCTGCTCATAGTAGGTGCTCTATAGAGAATAGAAAAGTAGCTCCTGCCCTGAAGAGTTCACAGTCTGATCTACTCAAATATTATTATTCCTCTTGTGCTTTCTGAACAGCCTGACCACACAACGCCTATGAAATACAAAACTAAATCCCATGATTTGTGGTGCTACCCCAGCCTCATTTGTCTTGGAAGCAGAAAAGAGACAACACATTTTTAAGTTTGTATGTAAAAAGGCTGTCCTGTCTCTTGAACTTTTCTGTCTCTGCTGGAATGATAATACTTCCCAGTACTGACAAAGGACTGGTGTTAAAATACTATTGTAATCCCCACCACATCCTGGACTGCCTTGGTCAGCAAAACATCTAGGTCACCACATTTAACGTGACAAACTGCAGCTGGCATATAACTAAAATCACTTGTATGTACAAATCTATTACGAATAAGAATTACCAAGATGAGTTTGCTCCTATTGTTTTTACTCAACACAGCAGTAATACAAATAAATAATTGATTACAAGTCAATGTCTAGACGAGAAATACTTTGCTTTAAACTCATCGGTGAGTTCATTTGTCAAATTATTATTATTGGGCCCATAATCTGGGTCACTGCCCAGGATACTGACCAGGCCTGGTAGTATACACTCTAATACACGGCCAAAAACTGGGTTACTGGAGGGAAATGAACAGGAACAGCATATCAGATAAAAATTCTTTTAATAAAAATGCAAAGAGCTGATTTATTGAATGTTCCCTCCCCACCCCGCCAATCATATAGAGAATGAGCCCTGCCAGTAGGAAACCAGGAATATATTCAAATAATAAGAACATTCTTAGGCTAAAGGCCTGAACTGCTAGCGGGAGACATACATCCAGCAGACAGACAGAAGAGACAGCTAGCCCTTTGTCAGTCACATCAGCTCAGGATTCAGACATGTAGATAAATTTATTCTTTAAGGGCCTGATACAACTCTCAGTGAATTGGAATTCAATGAAAATACTCCCACTGACTTCAATAGGAGATAGATAAAACCTCAAATTATTCCTTCTGGCTAGGTGATACCCTGTGGAATTAGTCTGAGAGCTGGACACATGTGTGGAACTGTCCAGAGAAACCCCGTTTCACCCAGAATCATGTGCATGGAGGATATTTGACAGCTTTCTTCTGATTATAAGAGAATTAGGGCTGCAGGGTGGGAAAGTCATCTTTGTGAATTTCTGTAGTGTTCACTTTGAGTAACAGCTTGCATCTATGAGGAGAAATCAGGAGGGAATTAGCTGGAGAGATGCCATCTTACATTGATAGAGGGCTTTATTTGCAGTTTTGCTTGAACAACCATTTCTGGGATTCAGAGAGTAGTAGATACAGTTCTTCCAATAAATGACAGAATATTTTTGGGAAGATAAAGTCATTATTGTAGAAGACTGAAAAGCAACCATGTGAAGTTCCTTTCAGCGAAAGCAGAAAAATTTGCCACATCACAGGAAAAAAGAAACCAGATACTGTGTTTCATCTTTTATCACTTAGTTAACCTGAAATCTAATCTGTTCATAAGAAATATTTGGAAAGGCTGGAAAACATTGTTCACTTTCTCACTTCTTTAAAACTCAAACGAAGAAATGCCTTACAGAATTTTCTCCCCTTATGTTTTCTTGGCACCACTTTATAATAGGCACTCACTCATTTCTAATTCCTGTGGCCTTTGCTGAAATGACATTAATCATTACAAACTCTGAGGCCCTATTCACATTGAATAGCCAAACCATGTTTCAGAATTGTGTTCTCACTCTAAAATCATAAGAAGATAGGGTAATGTTTATCTCTTCAAGCATGGTTGTAACTCAGTCTGGCCCTATCCACACTGGCCAACCAATCTGTTCATTGAGCTACTGTTTCCAAACTGAGTTCCAAGCAGAGCATGGATGGGGTCCTTACCATGCAGATAGCAGAGTTCCCAGGGAATTACGTATGCCATCTCCCTGCTAACAGCTTTGAAATAGAGCTGTCACTTTGCAGTGGAATACAGGACCAATCTAGGACACCACCCACATAGTGATCAGGGCCACTCCCTCCTGTGATCTTTGAGGACTACTTTTTCCTCTTCCAATTGTATTTTGGGGACTCATCTCAGTCCCTCTTTTTCACTTACAACAGCTCTGCATGGGTTACTGAAGCCCCAGAGCCTACTGCAGTGAACTTCACAGGCCCAGTGAGAGGCTAGGGATGAAGATCTGCTTGGTGGTGGAGGAAAGAGATGGTGAGAGGAAATATTTAAATGATCATTTGCATGAGCCCTCTCTACACTCGTCCAGATCACACAAGGATCAGTTGAGTCAGTGCAAACTGGGCATATAAAAGTGTGTTTCGTGCTGCTGTGTAAAGCAGGACCAAGATTTAGGGAATTTTAATATTGATCTTAACGGGAGCAGAGTTAATCTAGTGTCAAGTGTTTTTGCAAATCCCGCCCATACACTGAAGAACTGCTTTCAGTAAACATAATAGCCAAGAGGCTTTTTAAATTGTATACAGGGTTTGTGTAAAAGGTCTGTTAATCAAAACTTTTATTTGTCTTTTTATTTCTCCTTTTATATTATTCCTTTGATTTTTAAACTCATCGCTGCTCGTGATGGAGAATAATGTAGATGGATCCAAGACATATCACTGTAATGTAATTTGAAAACCTGGAGATTTCTTTATTGCATTAAGCAGACATTAACAGATAGCAAATGAAAAAGAAAAGGGTGAGATTTTATTTTTAAAAAGGTCTTAAAATTATACTCACTGCTTGTAGAGGACATGCGGCTGTACTCAGATCTGCAAGACAAAAATCTTAGTTCAGCAGGGCTGTACTATGTTTAAATCTTTAAAGATCATACACAAATTTGGCAAAGGAAACTACTGACTTAATTTAATTTGCTTTATACCAGTGGTTCTTAATCGTTACTGCAGCCTGCACCCCTTTGGTTCTCAAAATATGTTCTCGCACCCCTTCTCAAAAATCATTGAAATAGGTCAGTTCTTTAAACCTAGGTATTTTCTTTGTTTGTATATTACAGTAATTGTTAAAAAATGTATAATGTTAATAAATACATAGGTTTGATGAAACAAAGTAGTTGTACTTACGTGCCTGTGCTTAATTTGTGTTTTCGATGATTTACCTTTACAAAAATCTGACATGTCTCGCCCCTCGAGAAAGGGCATCTGGCACCCCCAAGGGGTGCGTGCACCCCAGGTTAAGAACCACTGCTTTAAACTGTCAAACTGCTTAAAACCTACACCAGTTATTTTTATAGTAAAATAGCTCACTATGGAAATTATTCTGAATGTGCCCTCAGGATAGCGGACATTCTGCAGGAATGTTAAAAATATCCATAGAGACTACACAACTACGGAAGAAACTCTTTTTGAGGCTGTAACTAGTTTTCCAATACTGCTGGAATTTGATCCTCCTCCCCATCCAATGTCTAATATCTCCAAAAATGCTTTGCACCTGAAATTTCTAATGTGCATTCTGTAGACAGAGGAGAAACTGAATTGTCCTTTGCACAAAGTTTGAAGGAAACCGTAAAATTGATCTTAGAGATATGATTCATTGAAGAATGAGGTTTTTACCTTTTGGAGAAGTCTTTTCTGTCTCTTTTTTTCCTTCTTTATGTCATATCTCAGAGACTCAGTCTAGAAGTTCCTCATTAGTTTTATTCAATTTATTGTCCACAACAAGAACTAGTGCTGTTCAGTATTTTGAAGAAGGCTAGGTAGTTAATTTTGCAGCTGTTCACTATATAACTCTGAACCTTTGAAAATTTTATTCATTCCTGAAGGAGCTAATAAACTTTTATGGTTACCAATTAATCTGAGATTTCATTTTACAAATCAAAATATAAGCCCTTTTTATTGTGAGCTGGGACTGAAAGTTTGTCTAAAGAGATTTTTAATAGAAATCACAGGTTATTCACAATGTGTTGACAACTCTCAATTTTGTGATATTTTATGCTTTTCTTAAAGCTCCAGATTTTGGAGGCAAGTGAGTATATGAGACTCTCAGCTTTATTTTTCAAAATAAGTAAATTCCTAGCCCTCATGTTTGCAGAGAAAAAGCTTTAAAAAAGTTAATCAAAAGACATATGACAAGCACTGATAACTTGCTCACGGAATAAACAAAAAACCCTCAGAACAGTATGTTGCTGTCTTTTTCCAATAATGATAGCTAGCTGGAGTACTTGAGTTCTGGAGCTCTTGCAAATATTTTAAGCATTCTAGGTATTATACAAAATGAACAATCACTTTGACAGGTCTTAAATTTAAACAAGTTAAATATAGAAGTAAAAATATCCTAAGTCATTTAGCCCCAGCTTCCTAGAATGTCGTTTTGTTCCTGCTAGTTCATGTTCTCATCCCCATTTTAAATGTTCCAAGTAACGGAGCCTCTACCAATTCCCTCGGGAAAGTGTTCCGTGGTCTGTGTTCTGAACATAGATTGGGGGAGGGATTCAAGAAGCGACTAGTGGAGCAGTAGCAGCTGTTATAGGGCTTTATCCTATGTTCTTTGAAGTCAGTGGCAAAGCTATCATTGACTTTAATGGTGAAGTATCAGGGCCACAGTCTTGGGCAGTACCAGGGACAGAGGCAGGGCTTTGTAGCAGCATTACTTCTGCATTTTTTAAATGAAGGATGTTACCTTTTAAAGGTGAAATGGAAGGGGAAATTCAGGCAAGAATGGGTAAGGAGGATGCATCTCTTATACAGAATCATTTTCAGACCCTCCAGGTATCTTAGGGGGAGGTAGTGGAGTAACAAAGGCTCTGAAGCAAGGTGTGGTATGAGTGTGTGTGAGTGTGAAGGGTTGTTCCACTCGCTGTCCAGTCATTGTTTCTATTTCTAGGTTTAACTGCCCCTCCTCCCTCCCATGTCTAAAAAGTCTCCTTCTCCAGGGCTTCTTTATACCAGGAAAAAAAGTTATAGAAGAGCTGACAGCCCACCTGCTACCTGCTTTCTTTGCTTGCCCAGCACTGGCATGATAACACCTATTGTACTGAGATTTTTCCCGACCCCCTTTTACCTAGGAACTATTCTTTCACATCACAGTTATGCCTAAAAGACTTCTTCTCTTCCTTAAATAGACACATAGGGGAAGAGCATGGTATAGTGATTTAACTACAGGCTTATGAGTCAGGAGAAATAGGCTCTATTGTTGACTCTGACACCAGCTTGCTGTGTGACCTTGAGCAAGTCACTTAATTCCTGTGGATCAGATTATGATTTCAGTTACATTGGTATAAATCCAAACTAACTCCACTGGATTTCCACCAGAGTAACCAAGATCACTGCATTAGCGTAAGTGATAACACTGCATTTTAATGGAGTTAGTTTGGATTTCTACCAGACAGAGTGAGTTCAGAGCATGACCATCTGTGTCTCAATTTAACTACTACAAAGGGATGTTTACTAACATTTTAATGGTTTTGGAGAGCCTCTGGTAGCAGTATTATTCCTGTGCTTTAAGCTGCCATTTATAATCTTTTAAATACAGTGGAATAGCAATAACCACACCAGTATGTGCCACACCGCTTCTGCTGTATTTCTCAGGTGGCTGAAGGCACGATGCTTACCTGCCTAGGATTTTGTACCTTGTTCTTTAAAGGGTAGTACACCAAAGGAATGAACCACTAACCAATAATGCATACACTGTTCTGGCTCAGTTATAGTAGATGTCAGTACAGATCTCCCTACTAGCAAAATTTAGTCATTAAAGTCTAGGTAAAAGTTGCTTTCAAGGACCATATCTATAATAATATACTAGCAGGTTTCTCTACTGAGATATGAAAGAGCACATTGGAACTTTTGCACTACATTGGTGATGTCTGGTGGCAGAAATCATTTCAAAACCAATGTAGTGCAAAAGGTCCATTTTATATATTTGAATACTCAAATCACAGATGAATTCTGTACAGTGCCATGACAAGAGTGATATATATGATGTGAAAGTTACAAAAAAACCTAAAGGTAAAAACAGTCCTTAAAAACAGGTTACAGCAGCAATGGTTTCCTTCTCCTGAGAGTTACACATAAATGGACGCGATATATGATGGGAGACTGACATCTGAAGAATGAACCAAATCAGGTAGAACAGGGGTTCGCAACCTTTCAGAAGTGGTGTGCTGAGTCTTCATTTATTCACTCTAATTTAAGATTTTGCGTGCCAGTAATACATTTTAACGTTTTTAGAAGGTCTCTTTCTATAAGTCTATAATATATAACTAAACAATTGTTGTATATAAAGTAAATAAGGTTTTTAAAATGTTCAAGAAGCTTCATTTAAAATTAAATTAAAATGCAGAGCTGGATGGCCAGGACCCAGGCAGTGTGAGTGCCACTGAAAATCAGCTTGCGTGCCGCCTTCGGCACACATGCCATACGTTGCCTACTCCTGAGCTAGAAGGAAGAATTTAATCAGAAAAATGTGAATAATTGGGAATCATTTATGAACATCCTAGAGATGCCAAAAAATGCCACAATCAAGGAAGAAGGCCATAGTGGTTTTAAAAAATGACCTGGTTAAGAGGGGAAGTGAAGGCAGCTATAAATATATAACAAATGGAAGAAGGTGAAAGTTGATAGTAATGAATATTAATCAAGTAAGAATTGTAGAAAATTGATAGATGAAGCAAAGGGACACAAAGAGAAATCTATGGCCAGCACAGTTAAGGACAATAAGAAAGAGTTTTTTTAAATATATTAGGAACAAAAAGAATCCTGACAATGGTATTGGTCCATGACTAGATGAAAATGGTAGACTTAATAATAATGCAGAAAAGGCAGAAGTGTGCAATAAATATTTCTGTTCTGTATTTGGGGAAAACAGATGATATAGTCTTATCATATGGTGATAAGAATACTCTTTCCATTCCACTAGTATTTATGGAGGATGTTAAATAGGAGCTACTAAAGTTAGACATTTTTAAATCAGCAACTCCAGAACACTTGCATTCAAGAGTTTTAAAAGAGCTGCCTAATGAGCTTGCTGGACCATTCTGTTAATACAAAATACTTAGGATCACAGGACATTGTGATAAAAAAAAAAAAAAAAACTAGAATATACAATTAATAGGGCACTAATTAAATGGATTAAAAACTTGCAGGTCTCAAAATGTAATTGTAAAGGGGGAATCATCATTGAATGGGTGAGCTGGGTTTCAGCCCAAATGTTTACAATGCTATGTTTAGCCCTGTAACAGAACCTGAGAGCTCAACTCAGTTGACCCAGGCTGAGACTCTCTGCTGTGGGTTGTTGTTTTTTTTCCTGTGTAAGATGTATCTTAACACACAAATGTACAAATTCATAAGTGAGTATCTCTAAGCTGAGCTGTGTGGCACCAAAAATAAATAAAAACTCATGAAACTATTTATTTTATTTTAAGCATCAAGGCTAGGGTTACCATTCATCCGGATTTACCCGGACATGTCCTGCTTTTTGTGTTAAAAATAGCGTCCGGGGGGGAATTTGTAAATCACTAAA